CCCGAGGTGGCCGTCCGGAGCTGCCTCATGCCGTGCCCGCCCAAGGAGGCACCCGAGGAGGGCGTCCAGTCCATCTCCAACATCGTCTACAAGTTTGGGGAGAAGCCCGAGGTGCCCCGTGTCCCCATCCAGTACCACAGCCAGCCCTCCCGCACCAACCTGGTGATCGCGTGCCCGGGGGCCCGCCCGGAGCACACCGTGGGCTGGGACAAGGACTCGGTCCGGCTCTACCGCTCCGAGTACCTTGTGGGTGTTGAGAAGGGCATGAGGGTCTTCATCGACCACGGGAACCACCTGCACATCCTGCGGGTGCGCAGGAGCGACAGGGGCACCTACTTCTGCTGGAGGGACGGCGAGATGGTGGCGGGATTCCGGCTCAGCGTCACCTTCCCGGCCCAGCGCCGGCGTGGCCCCGGCGACCCCGAGTCCATCTTCGTCATGAGGGCCGTGGGCATCGGCTTCGCCGTCATCACCGGCATCTTCTTCCTCGCCCACCTGGGCCGCTGCTGCTGGTGGGCGCTCAGGAAACCGGCCGGGTTGTAGCATCTCCCCTGGAGGGCACTTGGATGCCTCGGATCATCCTCCTGTCAGAAATCTCCAGTGTTCTGACCGTTTTTTCTTTGCTTTTCACTTTTCAAAGGAAAAACATTTTTCAAATTAACCTGATGATTAAACATCTCTGGTTCTGGGGCTGTTTTGAACCCGCCCAACTCAGCACAGAGTTGGGAGCCAATGTTTGAGGTAGAGCTTAAAGGACACAGGGGCAGCACAGACCCCTCTCCCAGGCTGGGGCAGGGCAGCTCCTCAGCCTGCTCCAGGCTCCAGGGCCCCCCCAGGGAGCCCGGGGTGGCTGCAGGGGACACAATCTGCACTCGTGAGAATGAGCTAAACACTTGGTGATGACATGAGGAGCAAAGCCAGGGAAGGGATGTGGCAGGAAGGGACAGAGCTACAGGAAACAATCAGCACCTCCCACACTTGGTGAAGGAGTGGGGTACGGCTGTTTGGGTCCCTGAAGGGCAACACCCCCACCCAGAGCACCGGTGTGACCCCAAAAGGGCCCACACATGGAGGCAGCCCCAGCCCCAACTCTCCCTGAGGACTTTGCCCCCAAACTCAGCCCCCAGACATGACCTTGCAGAACCCCCAGGGAGGCACCAGCTGAGCCCTGGGTGCTGAGCCCAGGGCTGGTGCAGGCCAGGAGGGACACGGCCACCAACCTGGCAGCACTGCTCCCTGCCTTCCCCTCTGAATCCCCAAAAATCTCCCAGTAGAACCAAACGTGCCTCCCCCATCAGGCTATAACACCCCCAGCCCCCCAGGAACCACCCCTGCACGGACTGGAGCTGCCACACAGGTGCTGGAAGCTGGGAACTGCTCCTGCATCCACACCAGCATGTGATTTGTTTGTTGGGAGGCAGAGCCAGCAGTGGGAAGGGCAGGTTTCCAACACAGCTCAGGGATTTGTGGCAGGCAGGAATCCAGCACCCCCCAGTGAGCAGCTGGGAGCTGCTGGAAAAGCATCCAGACACCTGGACTGCTCCCTGCAAACAGCACCAGGTTCAGGCTGGAGTGACAGCCAGAGCCTCTGTCTGCCCAGTGAGAGCCCTGCTGGGATTGAAATCCACGGGCAGGTTTGCACCAGGAACAGGGAAGCACATGGACAGAGCCCCTGGGGAGCACAATTCCCAGCTCAGTGCCGAGGGGGCAGCCCTGGCACTGGGGCCAAGGCATCCAGCAGATCCATGTGGCATCCTGGGGTCACATCAGCTGCCAGTCTGGAGCTGTGCAGGGGCACCCTGGGATGTCACACCCCCCGTGTCCCCAGGACATGCAGACACTCTCAGCACCAGTGCAGGCACAGCACAGGTTCAGGCTGTGTGGTTTTGGGGTGCTGTTGTGTTCCCCCATTCCCCACAGCTGACTGGGGGCTTCCAAAGTAAATCCAAGGCTCCAGTGAGCCCACCCAGCCCAGGAGCAGATGGGGCAGGAGCTCCTGCAAGGATCAGAGGTGAGTGCCAGGACTCACCAGAGCAGCTGTAGCCAGTGAGGAGGGTGTCCAGTGGTGGGAGCTGGGGTGGGGGCATGGATCTGCTGGAGGACACAGCTTCAGATCCCATTTTCTGTGTCCTCATGCACTCGGGGGGGTTGGTTCAGGGGTGGAGAGGGAGCCCCAGGCTGGGTGAGGCCTGCTCTGATTCCCTCACGGTGCCAACTCTGGGCAGTGACCCCTTAGAACCCCGTGAACCCCCTTTGGGCACTCACAGCTCCCCTAGGACAGCGCTGTCTCCTTTGTGCCTTCTTAGCCCCTCTAATGACCTGACACCCCCTTAAGCCACAGCCTCCCCTATTGCCCCTTTTGGCCCCTAAAGCCCCCCTCACAGCCCTACAACCTCTTTGGGCCTCCCCAGCCCCCTCCCACAGTCCTGCTCCCCTCTTTGGGCTCCCACAGCAGCTCCCGTGGGAGGAGCTGGGGTTCAGGAGCAGCTCCCAGCTGCTGGAAAAGGTGACCACGGGTGGGAGAAGCAGCACTGGGATGTGGGACAGCTCCGGGTGTGCCGCTGTCCCACGGGAACCGGGATCACCGGCTCCTCCTGCCCCTTCCCTGCCTGGCAGCAACTCATCTCACCTTTATCTTCTTCAGCCTGGAAGCTTCTCATTAACACTCGCAGCCCACTCGCAGTTCGTTTGTCTCATTAAGGGGGGGCCGGGGAGGAGGAGGAGGAGGGGGGAGAGCCCAGCTCTGCCTCCCGCGGCCGCCGGCACTTGCAGCTTCCCGTGCTTTGATCTCGCTGCGTGGGAGCCGGGAGAGGATCGATCCCTGGGGAGCAGCGGGTGCTCACACAGGACCCCAAAGCCCCTGCTCTGTCCCCCCCACCCCGCGAGGGATGGAGGTCCCCTGTCACCAGGGCTGTCACACAGCACGTGTCCCCAGGGATGCCACTGGCTGGGGACACCAAGCGCCACTATGGGGTGCGTAGGTGCCCCCAAACTGTGCCTGTCGCTGGTGACACCGGCCCAGGACAGCTGGGGACACACGAGGCTGGCTGGGGACAAGGAGCTTCTGGGCATTAAAGGCGGATGTGGGAGCTGCCCCAGTCCCACCAGTCTTGTCTCCAGCGGCTCTGGGTCCTCCCAGATTGCGCCCACAGGGACACGGCCGTGGCCGCAGCTCTCCCCACCGGCCACTGTCGGTGCCCGGCGATGGTGGCTCCGGTCCGGCCACATGTCCCCGTCCCGCAGAGGGCAGGAGCTTTTCCCGGCCATCGGCTGCCACCTGCTGCCAGCAGCAAGGCCAGTCCCCATCCCTGTCCCCATCCCTGCCCCTGTCCCTGTCTCCATCCCTACAGCAGCATCCCAGGGACCCCCTGCTCCGCAGCTTCACCCCAGCTGCCTCTCGGGGCACCCACCCCGCCGCCACCACGTCTCGCTGGTGGCCCCAAAACATCCCCATCCCCCTCACGGGCTGTCCCCGAGGTCCATCCATGTCCCAGTTTGTGGCCAGGACGCCGTGGCCGGGAGGGGACAGGGCTGGCGGTGGCGCCGTGCCCGTCCTGGATCCATCCCGCCGTGTTTCCCGGCAGTGCCGTGCCCGTCCTGGATCCATCCCGCCGTGTTTCCCGGCAGTGCCGTGCCCGTCCTGGATCCATCCCGCCGTGTTTCCCGGCAGTGCCGTGCCCTGGCACAAAGGCCCCTCCAGGCCGTGCCGGGCAGACACGGCTCCGGCCCCACACAAAGCCCCTTTCAGCCGCCCGGAAAAGCCCCCTGGCACCCGGCCCTGGCTCTCACCACTCCCTGCCATGGGTCAACAGGGGCAAAAGGGGCAAAAGATCCCCCAAACTCAGTGCATATGTGGCTGGTGACATGGTCGAACACACAGCTATGGTGGGATAAGTCCCTTCTGGATCTGGGATGGGGACGGGCGTCCTGAGTCCTGTCCAGGCTCCAGGGCCACCAGCCAGTGCTTCCACAGATCCAGTGGGATGGGAAGGACTTTGAAGGCTTCAGCCACTTAATTAACACCTGGCCTTAATTAATAGCCTGGAGTGATGGGCTGCTCATGCCAGGGCTTGTCCTGGGGGATGTGTTATGGGGAGGATACGTACATGTGTGTGCTCACAGGTGGGGATGTGTGCCCACGTGTGTGTGTGTGTGTGCCCATGTGTGTGCCCGTGTGTGTGCCCATGTGTACACGTGTGTGCCCACGTGTGGGTGTGCCTGCATGTGCATGGTGGGGTGGCTCTGTGTGTGTGTGCTGTGTGTACATGTAAGGGTAACTGGGCATGTGCCACTGGGCATGTGTGTGCATGTGCACACGTGTGTTGGTCTGGCTGTGCCTGTGTGTGCACAGCAGGGTGGCTGTGCCTGTGCACGCTGTGTGTGTGTGGAAGGGGAGCTGCGTGTGCACAGCTCTGGGTGTGTCCCGTGTGTGTGTGTGCACACGTGTTCAGGGAAAGCAGCACACGTGTGTATCTGCACACTGTGTGTGTCCCCACGTGTGTGCCAGGCAGGCACGTGTGTGCCTTGCACACGGGGTGTGTGTTTGTGGACACGGACAGACACGTGTGTGTGTCTCTGGAGGTGTCTGCGTGCACGTGTGTGCCTGTGGGCGTGCACACACACACGAGTGGAGATGCAGGTGACTCCACACGTGTATATATAGATCTCACATGTACGTGTGTGGATCTCCCACGGCACCACACTCGGCCTTGCACCCACCCCCACCCGCTGCCTGCCCCGGGGGTGAACTTGGCCACTGCTCCATCTCTGCCCTGCCACGTGCCCCAGGCCCACCCGGGGGGGCCGGGGGTGTGCAGGGGGCTGTGCCACGGTGCCCAGGCTGGATGCCAGGGCACAGACACCCCTGCCAGGCGCCACGGCCTGGCTTTGTGCCGGCCCAGTGGCTCCCTGGCTGGCGGCCAGAGCCAGGGCGCCCAGCGGGACGGGGGCTCTGGGCTCCATAAAAACCCTCGGGAGGGCACATCACACCCACCCCAGGCATGGAGAGCCAGCGCTCGTCCTCCTACAGCCACCGCTTTGGCCCTGCCACCCCCATGCACCGGGTGCCCCCCGCCAGCCCCCCAGTCCGGAGCCACCGGGGACCCCGCGGCACCCACCCGGCCTCCCGGCTGGGCTCGGGCAGGATGGACTTCTCGCTGGCCACGGCGCTCAACTCGGAGTTCCGGGAGACACGCACCAGCGAGAGGGTGGAGATGATGGAGCTCAACGACCGCTTCGCCAGCTACATCGAGAAGGTGCGGCTGCTGGAGCAGCAGAACAAGGTGCTGGTGCTGGAGCTGAACCAGGCGCGGGACCAGGAGCCCTCCCGCCTGGGGGACGTTTATCAGGAGCAGCTGCGGGAGCTGCGGCTCCACGTGGAGCAGCTGGGCACCGCCAAGGCCCGGCTGGAGATCGAGAGGGACAACCTGGCCCAGGACCTCAGCAACCTCCAGCAGAAGTAAGGCACTGTCCAGTTGGGGCTACTTCTGGGGACCAGGGTGGCCACCAGGAGCAGGATGGAAAGTGGCCACTGGGATGGGTGTCAGGGTGATTACCAGGAGCAGGATGGAAAGTGGCCACTGGGATGGGTGTCAGGGTGATTACCAGGAGCAAGGTGGCCACTGGAATGGGGACCAGGGTGACCACCAGATCCAAAGTGGCAGCAGAGACCAGGATGGCCACCAGGACGATGATCAGGGTTGTCCTGGGGACCACGGTGGTGATGGGGATGGTGATGTGGCCGGGGTAGTGGTGATGTCATGGGGACCGTGGTGGTGACAAGGCCCAGGGTGACCCCTGGGACCAGGATGGAGACTGGGGGGTACCCAGGGATCAGGGTGGCCATGGAGACAGGAGCAGGGTAGCCCTGGGGACCAGGCACTGATGTGCACCAGGCTGGTGGTGGGGACCACGGTGACCCCTGGGAACAACGTGGGATGGTGGAGGGGGTGTGGGATGGGTGCAGGCACTGACACAGGGTTTGGGTGGGTGCTGGGGCTGTGGGGCTGTGTTGACACAGGGGGGTGTGTCCGTGGGCAGAGAGGGACAGATCATGGTGCCAGAGGGGTCATGGTGCCAGAGGGGTCACAATACCAGACATGTAATGGTGCCCCTGCTCCGGCACAGGCTGCAGGACGAGGTGACCCTGCGGCTGGAGGCCGAGAGCAACCTGGCTGCCTACAGGCAGGTGAGGGCAGGGACCACATCCTGCACTGCAGGGGTTCAGCTCCCATCTTGTCCTCTCCTTGGGATGGGCAGGAATGGGGAGGGGGTGAACAGGAGCAGGCAGTGAGGGACTAGGGTATGTTACAATGGGCAGAGAGGGGCAGGGATGGGGCAGGGATGGAAAGGGATGGACCATGGATGGGCAAGAATGGGCAGAAAAGGGGTGGGGATGGGTAGGAGTAGGCAGTGAGGCACTGGGATGTGTTATGATGAGCAGAAATAGGCAGGAACAGGGCAGGGATGGAACAGGGATAGGGCAGGAATGGAACAGAGATTGGGCAGGAATGGAGCAGGGATGGGCAGGAGTAGTGAGGGACTGGGATATGTTACAATGGGCAGAGCTGGGCAGGAGAGGGCAGGAATGGGCATGGCCAGGCAGCTCAGGAGGGAGCAGACCCAGGGGGCCAACCTGGGACTGTCTGCTCTGTCCCCCCACGGTGACAGGACGTGGACAACGGCACCTTGGCTCGCCTGGACCTGGAGCGGCGTGTGGGGACCCTGCAGGACGAGATCGCCTTCCTGCGCAAGGTCCACGAGGAGGTAACCCTGCCCAGGGGGGCTGGGGGTCCTGGGGCCTGGGGGGCTGTGCTGACTCCCCTGTCCCCACCAGGAGCTGCGGGAGCTGCAGGAGCAGCTGTCCCGGCAGCGGGTGCACGTGGAGGTGGACGCCAGCAAACCAGACCTGACGGCCGCCCTGCGCGACATCCGCAGCCAGTACGAGGCCGTGGCCGCCAGCAACGCCCAGGAGACAGAGCAGTGGTACAAGTCCAAGGTGCAGAGTGAGCTGGTGGCCTCACGGAGGGGAGGCCTGGCTGTTCCCCCTGGAACGTCACCTCCTCGGGGCTGGGGTTGCTTACCCAGGGTTGGGGGGTGGTGAGGGGGTTTGGGATCTCCGCTGTCCCCGCCCGTGTCAGGGATGTTTCTCCATGTTCCCAGGGCTATGTCCCTCCTGTGGAGCACAGCAGAGCTGTGCCCCCAGGCCGTGTGCCAGCGGGACACATCCCTGCCGCGTGGTCCCATCCCGTGGCCGTGTCCCTGTCCCAGTTCGCAGACCTGACGGACGCGGCCGCCCGGCAAAACGAGGCCCTGCGTGCGGCCAAGCAGGAGGCCAACGAGTACCGGCGCCAGCTGCAGGCCCTCACCTGCGACCTGGAGGCTCTGAGGGGCTCGGTAGGTGATGGCCATGAGGTGCAAGAGGGGGGACACGGCCTTGGGGAGCTGCCACCACCATGGGGTTCCCCAGAACCCCAGTGCTGGGGAACGGTGGCTCCCCTGGGGTGGGAGATGGACACTGGGATGAGCCCCCAGCTCCTGGGAGAAGGTGGCCATGAAGGGTGTCACGGCCCCTTGTGGCCCCCCAGAACGAGTCCCTGGAGAGGCAGCTGCGGGAGCTGGAGGAGCGCTACGCCCTGGAGACGGCCGGCTACCAGGACACAGTGGCACGGCTGGAGGAGGACATCCAGAGCCTCAAGGAGGAGATGGCCCGGCACCTGCAGGACTACCAGGACCTGCTCAATGTCAAGCTGGCCCTGGACATGGAGATCGCCACGTACCGCAAGCTGCTGGAGGGCGAGGAGAGCAGGTGATGGCACAGCGGGGACTCCACGTCCTTGTGGTCCCTCTGGGGTGTCCGGCTGGGTTGGGGACCATCCTCCAGCCCTGCTGCCCCAGCCCCGGGTGGGTGGAGCTGGGGGGGCAGCAGGATCCCGCGCTCTTCCCAACACCCTGGTTGCTCCTGCAGGATCACCATCCCCGTGCAGAGCTTCTCCAACCTGCAGGTCCGAGGTGAGGCTGGGGGGGGCAGGATGGTGGCACAAGCAGGGGTGGCTTCTGGGGGCTCTGTGGCAGGAGATGCCACCTAGGCCATCCCTGTCCCATCCAGAGGGACTGGGATGTTTTTCTCTGAATCTTAAGGAACCAGGACTCCTGGTTTTCCCAGGATGGGGGGAGGAGGGTGCCATGAACACATCCCCCGGGCTGAGCATGTCCCCAAGGCTGAGCATGTCCCCAAGCCCATTGATGTGCCCAAGACTGATCACATCATCACGTCCTCAGTGGCCAATGACATCCCCCTGGCCAATTGTGCTCCCCAAGGACAAGCCTGTCCCCAAGCTCAGTCACATCCCAAAACCACCCATGTCCCCATGGTCAATGACATCTCCAAGGTCAAAAATGTCCCCAGTGCCAACTGTGTCCCCAGGGCTAATCACATCCCAAAATCAGCCACATCCTCAGAGCCAACACTGTCCCTGAGGCTGGTTGTGTCCCCAGGGCCACTGTCTCCCATGGTTCAGGGTTTTCCAGCCCAATCCATTTACTTTGGGCCTCTCCACCTGAGCGTGGCTGGAAGGGCCATACCCTGGCCACGGTGTCACTGCCTTGTCCCGGCCTTGTCCCCCAGAGAACAGCCTGGACACCAAATCTGTGTCAGAAACCCACGTGAAGAGGAGGATCGTGGTCAAAACTGTGGAGACTCGAGATGGAGAGGTGGGAAATCCTCATCCTTGTCACCCACGCTCCACCCCCTCTGCCCACGGGGTGTCCCCAGGAAACTTGTATATGGGGCCACCATCCCTGAGCCCCAGGAGCAGCCCGGGCAGGGAGCCAGTGATCCCAGTGCCCTGAGAGCATGGCTGGGCTGAGCCCGGCAGCTCAGAGAGAACACAGCTCCCTGTCACACGTGTCCCTGTCCCTGTCCCCATCCCCAAGCTCATTCGAGCCCAGGCAGGCTCAGCCGGGAGAGGAGCCTGAGCCGGGGGTGATGGTCCCTCTCTCCCTCCGGCTCCAGGTGCTCAAGGAGTCCAAGCAGGAGCACAAGGAGGGGCCGTAGGGCAGACGATCCCGAGCTCCGCAGGTCCCGCCCGACGCTTCGAGGGAGCCCCGCGGGCACCGGGGGCGGGAGGAGCCGGCGGTGCCTCGAGGGGCATCTCCCTCCCCTGCACCCCTCGCCTCTCCCGCGTCACCCCGTGCCCAGGGACCCCCACACCCTGTTTGGGGCTGGCAGAGAGCAAAGCGCCCATCGGAGCGGGCACTGTGTGGGGCGGGGTGGGCAGCACGCAGGTCCAGGCAGAGCCAGGCTCCCCGGCGGGATCCTGCCGCATTCCCACAGCACGGCGTGCCGGTGGTTTGGGGGCTGTTCCTGCCTCGCCCCGGGCCTCCAGCTCGCCAGTGCCGATGGAGAGGATCCATCCCGTTTTGATCTCCATGCAGTGGTTGGACAAGATGATGGTGCCAAGAGCATCTCCTGCACCCACCTTGCTGCCCTCTCTGGTCTGGGAGACCTCCCTGGATCTCCCCAGTACACCCTGACCCCCAGCACCCTTGGGTGGAGGCTGCAGAGTGCAAGGCACCCGCTGGAGAGGGACACTGCCCTGTCACCAGGGGTTGGTGAGCTCAGCTGAGGGGCAGGGGCAGGAAAATTGGGAGGATGGAGAGGCAGGGGAGGAGGAAGAGGACAATGGAGAAGCAAGATGCTCTTGGGATGGTGTCAGGGGGTGATGAAATGGGGATCAGGAGGGATTCCTGGAGGTGTCCAGGGTGGTTTGTGGGGGCAGTGTGGGCTGGGTGGCCTCAAGAACTTCTCCTGGCACAGAGCCCTGGCACTGTCCTGACCCCCACACTGGGTGTCTGCCACCAGGGTGTCCCCAACACTGTGGTGGGGACAAACAGATCTGAGGGGTTCATGGTGAGGTGTGACCCCTGGCCCTGCACTTGGGGGTCTCACACAGGGGAAAATGGAGAGAAAGGGGGTGCAGAGGAGGAGGAAGATGTTGAGGGCTCTCACAAACGGAGCCATCCCTGTCCTGCCTGTCCCACCTGGGGTCACACTGTGAGCCAGGGGGTCTGGGGACCAGGGCTGCCCCAGTCACAGCCCCTGCCACACACAGAACCTGAGCCCATTCTTCCATGGGCATTCAGGGCGGGGTTGGAAAAAATCCCTTGTCCCTGGGCTGCATGTGGCCCTGTGCCTTCACCTGTCCTCCCCCAGACCACCCAGGGCATTGCCCAGCCCCACTCCCACCTTCACTGCAGTCACTGACCACAAGCAGAGCCTTCCCTGATGCCATCTGACACAGGAGCAAGGACCCAGCAGCACTCCCCGTGCCCTGCCAGCCCCTTGTGATGACACATCCCTGCTCTTGGATCCATCCCCTCATCCCTCTGTCCCCCTCATCCCCTGGCTCAGGTTTGCTTTGCTCCAAATCCAGAAAGGCCATTCCTGGGGCAGGAGATGTTACAGGAGCCCAGGGCGCTGCCCAGGGTGGGAACCCAGGGGGAATCCAGCTTGGCCCCCACAAGCAGCCTCCCTTGTTATTAATTACTGACTTATTAATTGCTGAGCCTGTCACAGCTCGGGGTGAGGAATAAAGCTAATGAACACTCTGGTTGTTCCTGAATCCACCTCTCTGCAGCCAAGCCGTGGGGTTTGGGAATTATCTGGGCATTGGGGCCCTTTGGGGGCCCAAACTGAGCTCAGTGCTGTGTGGGGATGTGCTCAGGGCTGAGCCCCACGGCACAGACGCTCCAGGGGCCAACACCCGTGGGGGGCCGAACACGGGGAGGGGGAGCAGGGATAACGCCCTGAGCTGGCAGCCAGGCAGTGGGGTGGGAGAGACCCCCTTCCCAGGAGGGAAGCAGGGATCTGCTGAGGGTTCTCCACCCTCCCAGGAAACTCCTGGGATCCTCTGCTGCTGTAGGGGCTGAGGGTGGATTTGAGATTCTGCACATCATAGACACAGTTCAAGTGCCAGGGCATTGTTGGGACCCTCAGTGCCCTCCTGGACAGTGACAGTTGTCTTGGGAATGCTGAAATCCCCAACCACATCCTTGGAAAAAGGGGATGAGCCTAGTGGGGACGTCCTGCTCCATACTGAGGAGCAAGTGGCCACCAAAACCCTGCAGAGATGCCACCACCTTTGGGGGACGTACAAGATAACATTGTCTGGCACAAACATTGACTCCCAACTCTGTGCTCAGAGTAAAACCCTCAAAAATCAGACACATTTCTGAAGAAAATCACCTGATTAATTTGAAAAATATTTTTTGTCCTTCAAAATTTAAAAAAAAAGTGTTTAAACCAAAATTAAAAAAAGAAAAACAGGTTTGCTCCAGCTAAGGAGCTCAAAGGAACATTGAAGGGTTTGGGATGCAGGGACTCACAGTTCTCAGTAAGAAAAACAAGTTAAATAAGGGAAAAAAGGGTGAGAAAAGCAACTATTAATTGAATTAAAATAGTTTGGTGGATCTTTTTATCAGCCTTTTAGGAAAACAACTCTAATAAATCACTGATGCGGACCAAGAACTCTGTAGAGCTTGGCCAGAACATCTTGCACCAGCTCCAAGTTTTCATTGGAAAAAAAAGGACTTTATTGAGCTTAAACCCCCACTGTCAGCCAAGAACACATCCCGGCAGCGTGAAATCCTGCCAGGAACAAATCCTGGCAGTGCGAAATCCCACCTGGAACAAACCCTGGCGCTGTGAAATCCCCCCTGTCCCCACTAAGCTGTGCCAAAACAGGGAGTTTCCCACATCAGTCCTCGGTGTCCTGCTCTTGCCCGAGGGCAGGGTGAGCAGGGGCTGGCAGAGATCGACTGGTGGTGGCCAAAGCATTGGAAACTTCCAAAGGGAGGATGATCCAAGTGCCCCGTGGGGGAGATGCTCCAGCCTGGCCAGGTTCCTGAGCGCCCACCAGCAGTGGCAGCCCAGGTGGGTGAGGATGAAGATATGATGATGATGAAGCCCATGTTTGATCCCCACAGCCCCTCAGCTCAGCTGTTGGCAGGTCAGGTCACACCACACGCCCACGGACCAGGAAAGGCAGAAGGAATGGCACCACAGCAGAGTGCAGGGACACAGATGTCCCCAAGAGAGGTGCCACAAAGCCCAACATTCACACGTCAGGCCTCAGGGATGGATCCTGTCACCAGGTGTTGGGTGGTTCTTGTCTGCCAGGGTGAATCTGCCGTTTGCTGGATTGGGTTTTGGAACAAAAAGGACCTGACAGTTGTCACTGGCATTGATTACATCTCCTAAATCCCCTGAGTGACCATGGACACAGGTGGAAAAGGGAAGGGACTATCTGGGTTTAGGTTTTTCCTTCACTACCCAGCAATGTTTTCCTTCCCTTGGTTTTCTCCTCATCCAAGAGACTCTCCCATCCCCATCAGTGAGGACACCCTGCCCAGAGACCACAGCACCACAGCTCGGGAACTGAACTTTATTTGTGCAGAACTCGTGCTCTGGGTGATGCCAAGGTCAGGCCTTGAGTCTCTTCTGAGCCTCTTTTAGCCCCTGAACCCCCTCAGCCGAGCTGGAAACACTTCATCAGCTCCACCACCATCCTTTCCTCCTCGTCTTCCTTTTCCGAGTGGGTGTCCATGGCGTGAGGTTCCCTCCCTGCCTCCTGGCCTGGCTTTTCGGCAGCCCAGCAATCCCTGCTCAGGCCCTGCAGCTTCCTGAACAGATCCCGGCCGCTCTCCTTCTCCGCCTGGCTCAGGAGCTCCACGTTCAGCCCGAAGCGCCGGGTGCCCGCCAGGCCCTGCAGGATCTCCAGGACGGCAGCCCCGTCTCCAGGATGGAAGTTCTCTGCCAGCACCCTCAGGAATTCCCCCAGGAGGCCAAAGCCCACGTCAGCCCGGAAGATCCTGCCCAAGGCCTCCCCTCCCAGCTCCAGCAGAAACCGGTATTTCTCTGTCCCGCTCTTCAGGCACCTGCGCCAATCCCTGTGGAATTCTGCAGCCGTTCCAGGCAGCTGATTCAGCTCCTGAAGGAAAAAGGAGTCACTCAGGTCCTTTTGCTTTGTTTCCCCTCAAAGGCTTTGGTCCCCCCGCCCCAATCAGCCAAAGATGTTTCTCACAGGGGCTTTGGTGGCACAAGGAGCTGCCGAGGGGGAAAACGAGAAGACAAGGAAATGCCAGGTGCCTCGAGCCCAGAGAAACCTGGGAACTCCAGGGGCAGAAGGGAAAGGTGGATGAGATGTGACACCTGGTGTGAACACAGACGGTTGTGGAGTGATCCTGACCCCAACCAGACCTGCTGTCCAGCCAGCAGGATTAACCCAAACCGGCCCTTTTCCATGCTGTGGATCATTAAACTGTGGGTGAGGATGAGGAGCAGTGGCATAAACCAAAACACAAGTTCCACCTCAACATGAGGAGCTTCTTTCCATGGAGGTGGCAGAGCACTGGAACAGTTGCCCAGGGAGGTCATGAAGACATTCCAAACCTACCTAGACATGTTCCTGTGGCACCTGCTCCAGGTGACCCTGCCTTGGCAGGGGGGCTGGACTGGGTGATCTCCAGAGGTCCCTTCCAACCCCAGCTGGGATTCTGGGATTCTGAGGAAGCACTGGGTGTGCTCAGCCAGAGGCTGTTCCAGGGAGGATCCTGATGCACATCTCTGGGTTGCAGGAGTGTGGGCTGGGAGGGCTCTGCTCCCCCATTGTTCCTGCAGACCGTGGGAGGCACTGGGAGCTCTGGGCCCAGGCTGTCCAGCTGCCATTCCCACAGGGATGGAGCTGACTCTTCCTGGGGGGGCCCAGCCCAACCCTGTGGGGATCCAAACCCTGATGTTCCAGGGTCTGGGAGGGCTGGCTCACAGTCCCTGAGTAACTCCTACATTCCAACTAACACCCAGACTGTTCCCAAGCCATTTCCAGCTGTGGAGGAGGCCCCGGAGTCTCCCCCTCACCTCTGGGATCTCCTCAGTGTGGGCAGGTGATGCATTGGCTGGGGCTGCACAGGGATTCCACAACACATTCCTCCTCTGCCCCAGCCTGTCCTTCTTCTCCAGAGGCTTCAGATGTGAGGCCAACACGATGTTCCTGCAGGGAACAGGAATGGGAGGGACAGGGGGCAAGAGAAAACACTCTGAGGCTCCGAGTTACTTCCATCCTGAGGCACTGGACAGGCTGCAGGAGCAGGGCCTTATCAATACAAGGACAAACCAGCTTAAAATTCCCTGGGAATCCTGTTATGGGGACTGGCAAGTGTTTGGGATAGAAAAAGCCACTTTAAAATGCTTTCCTGCCTCTCAAGGATCAGGCAGTGACTGAGTGCAGGTGAATCCATGAATGGAATTTGATCTGGTCCTACAAAATGTGGTAAAAATCCTGGATCCACCTGTGGATGTCAAGGGACAGGGAGTCGCCAGACAGATCTGTATGGGATCTAGGACTTCAGTGGGGTTTGGGAGTCCCACATGGCTCTATAGGACATCCAGGAGTTCAGTGGGGTCTGGGAGTCCCACATGGATCTACAGGACATCCAGGATGTTGACGGACACTGGAAGTCCCAGCTGAACCTCCAGGAGTTTGGTGGGCACTGGGATTGCCTGGCACTGCTCCCCGTGGAGCAGCCTTGCCATCCCAACCTGCTTCCAACACCCTGGACAGAGCAGTGACGGGACTGGGAGCAGGGACAGGCTGGGCAGGGGACAGGGGACATGTCACAACCCTCCTGTCACAACCTTCTGTTTCTGCAGCCCCAGCAGGGCCTGAGGGGTGTGGGGAGAGAGGAGGGGCTTGGAGTGGGAATGGGGACAGGGAACAGTGTCCTGGAGAGGGGACAGCCCCTTCCCAGTGCTGGGCCACAACCGGGCACCACAGAGACCAGTCCCGGAGCAGGGACCGAGCTCAGCCCACACGGGGCCACCCGAGATTTGGGGACAAATCTGAACCACAACCGATTGTCCTCGGAGCCGGGTCGTTCCTGGGATCCCGAGGCCGTTCCCGGGATCCCGGGACTGCTGCCCAGCCACTCCTGCCTCGGGCCCCCCCGGAGCAGCTCCGAGTTCCCGGAGCCCCCCAGGACGAGCTCCCCCCGCACCTGAAGTCGCGATAGTCGGGGACGCCCTGGAGCAGCGCCCTCAGCTTGGCCTCGCCCTCCCGCTGCCGCCGCTCGTCCTCGGCCAGCGCCGCCCGCAGCTCCCGCTGCAGGGCCGGGAGAGCGGCCCCGGGATCCATCCCGGGATCCATCCCGGGAGCACGGGCACGGCGCACCGGGCACGGGGACCCTCCTGTCGCGACAGCCCTGTGGGGATGGCCTAGGGCACCCCACTATCGCGACAGCCCTGCCGGGGATGGTCTGAACGACCCCAGCCCTGCCGGGACTGGCCCCACGGATCCCGCTCTTATCGCGACAGTCCGGCCTTGGGGACTCCACTCCCACTGTGAGTGAGCCCTCAAGGCCACGCACGTGGGCGGCAATGGGGAAGCCCCGCTCCTATCGCGACAGGCCCCGACACAACTGCGGCCCCGGAGCCCCTCACTGTCGCGACAGCCCCGCCGGGTGCCGAGGCCCCCCGGCCCCAGGGCCGCTCTATCGCGACAGTCCCGCTGGGTGCCGAGGCCCCCCGGCCCCAGGGCCGCTCTATCGCGACAGTCCCGCTGGGTGCCGAGGCCCCCCGGGCCCAGGGCCGCTCTATCGCGACAGTCCCGGCCCCGCTCCCGCCTCCACAGCGCCGGGGCCGCGTGAGGCCCCCCGGGGCTGCCCCGGCCGCGCCTGACAGACCCGGCCCCGCCGCCCCGCGCGGCCCCGCCCGGCCCGCGGTCCCCGGACACGCCGGGACCGAGCCCGAACCGAACCCGAACCGAAACGGGCCCGACCTCCGTGCTTCCCCCGCGGGCCCGGCGCCGCCGGAGGGCGCGGGAGGCTCAGTCGTGACAGGCGGCGCGGGCAGCCCAAGGGGCCTTCGGTAGCGGCGGCGCCGGCGAGAGCGGGACCGGGACGGGTGAGGGGGAGAGAGGGAACGGGGACGGGAAAGGGAACGGGAGAGGGGACGGGAAAGGGAACGGGAGAGGGAACGGGAAAAGGAGTGGGAGAGGGAACGGGAAAGGGAAAGGAAGCGGGAACGAGGACGGGAACGGGTGAGGGGGAGAGAGAGAGAGGGACAGGGAACGGGTGAGGGAACGAGGACGGGAAGGGAGCGGGAGCGGGGACGGGTGAGGGAGAGAGAGGGGAGGGACCGGTAGCGGGGGGCTCGGGGTGGGGAGGGAGCGGGTCGGAGCGGGGTCAGAGGCAGGCCCAGGGCCGGTGCCCCGGTGCGGGCGCGGGCCCTGCGGGCGGGCACTCGGTCACCGCCCCCCGCCCCCAGCATGGACACCGACCTGTACGACGAGTTCGGGAACTACATCGGGCCCGAGCTGGACTCGGACGATGACGATGATGAGCTGGGCCGGGAGGCCAAGGACCTGGATGAGGTGAGGGGGGGTGGCCCGGCCGCGGGGCTGGGATCTCGTCCCCGGGGTCGGGGTGGGGCTGGGGTTTAAAGGACTCACCAGATGTGTGCCCGGGGTGAAGGGGAAGGCAAAGGTCCCGCTGGGGTCACGGTGGGGACTGGGAGCTCCTGCAGCCGGCCTGTGTTTGAGTGGTGGTGCCAGTCCCGGGGAGGTTCCCTGTCCCTTTCGGGGTCTTCTCAGAAGCTGAGGCTGCATCAGAAGCCAGATCCCCCCGGGGGGAGGCAGAGAGAGACCCCAGGGACACCAGGGGGGCAGGAGGAGGGTGGGGGGAGCAAAGGGGCTGAGCCACGGGGGGAAGGAGGAGGTAGTTCCCATCTCCTGTGGGTCTGTGTGGGATGGGGGGGTGTTGTGTTGTGTGTGAGCTGGCGTTGGAGTCCCTGCCTGTGCCGGTGTCTCTGCAAGCCCAGGGGCTGTTCATTTTCCTGAGGAAGGGCTGTGCTGCTCTCCCAGGAGCTGCTCCCAGGGCACCTCTGTGAGGTGCTGTGGGTCCCTGGCTGGGGTTGAGCTGAGGGTGGGCCCTGTTTGCAGCTGGAGGATGATGATGACGACGATGACATGGGGGAGCACGACGAGGAGCACCCTGGCATGGAGGTGGTACTCCACGAGGACAAGAAGTACTACCCCACAGCTGAGGAGGTGTACGGGCCTGAGGTGGAGACCATCGTGCAGGAGGAGGACACACAGCCACTCACTGGTGAGTGGGGAGGGAGAGAAATGGGTTTCTCTTCTGTGCTGCCCCTTTGGAGCCCCCAGGAACACACACAGACTCCTGTTTGTCTGGTGTGTGCAGGTTTGGGCTCTCGTGGTTGTTCCAAATCCCAAAAAGAAAAGCAGCAATCAGCAGAGACTTGAAAGATGTTTAAGGAGAAGTTAAATACATTTAAGTCATCTTCTTTGATCCCTTTACACTGGAATATTTGTGTTGGAAGGGCCCTGCAGTGACCCTCTCCTGCAGCTGCTTTGATAAAGAGAATCTGTCAGCTGGAAAACTGGGGGGTTGATGGCAAAACTCCCTGTTCCTGGAGGTTGTTCCTGGTTTGGGGGCTCTGGGTGCAGTTTGTTGTTCTTTCTCTTGTTTCAGAGCCCATTATTAAGCCCGTGAAGACCAAGAAGTTCTCCCTGATGGAGCAGACGCTGCCAGTCACTGTCTATGAGATGGAGTGAGTGCTGGGGGGGTCAGCTCGAGCTGTCACCACTGCTGGTCCCCCCTGCCCTGAGGGGTCCTGCTCTAGGCTGGGAGGGGTGGCAGATTTTTGGAGGGCTCTGGCTTGGTGTCTGACTGGCCCCAGCAGCTGCTTCCTGGGTTCTGAACCAAGGACAAGAGGAAGGAAAAGCAGGACAGACCATTTCCCAGACGTTTTCCCTCCCCAGCACAGGGCAGGGCTCAGACACAGAGGGGGAATCTCATCTCAAGGTTGAGATAAAGTTCCATAGTCAGAGCCTCTTGTGGCTCAGGAAATACTTATGGAATGGTTTGACATGGAAGGGACCTTAAAGCCCATCCAGTTCCACCCCCTGCCATGGGCAGGGACACCTTCCACCAGCCCAGGTTGCTCCAAGCCCCGTCCAACCTGGCCTTGGACACTTCCAGGGGCCAAGGGGCAGCCACAGCTTCTCTGGGCAACCTGTTAAATATTCATGTGGCACACGTCATATTGGGACATTTTAGGTTGATCCCAGTCTCAAATCAGACCCCATCTATCCTGGAGGAGCTCCCACTGGGAATTCTTATGCTGGTGGGTGAGTGCAGAGCTCTGTGCAGGTCACCAGGACCGTGGGCGTGGTGGTGCCTGCTGGTTGTACCCCAAAGCAGCCCCTGGGACACCAGGACTGGGAGAAAATCTCTGGAAAAAAATTCAAACTAACTTAAAGATAACATCTCATACAAGTTTGATGTGGAACAACAAACATAATTTGCTTTTTCTATTAAAAATCTGATCTTGGCATCAGCGTTTTTGAGTGCTGTGGTGGGTGGAGGGTCCGTGTCCCCTGCTGCAGTGTGTTTGTGCTGTCCCTGTTTGGGATGAGCAGATGGAGCTGTGGGAGTGTCCTTGGGCTCATCTCTCCATGTGCCACTTCATGGCCAGTCAGAGCTTTTCCCAGGTTTTAATGGTCTCTCTGTGTGGATCCCAGAAACAGGAACGGCTGAGCAGCAGCCCCAGTGTGAGCAGTCCCTCTGCTTGGCATCCAGCAGCTTCTTGTTTTTCAGAGGGAACAGGATGTTCCTGGAGCTGGTGCTCACTCAGGAATTCCCAGAGCTGTTTTGGGAGGGTCCATCCCTGCTGTTTTCGGTGCCCAGGGGGATTCAGCAGAACCAGAGCAGAGCCCAAGAGCTGCTGGGGCTGGTTTTCCTCAGCAGTTCCTTTGGCTCAGTCATTATCCACTGATTCCCTGCTCCCTGTGTGAGCTGTTCATCCCATTTGTAATTAATTCCTTTTGGCCCTGTTTGTTGATATAAATGGTTAGGATGGGGCCCAGAGAAATTCCTTGTGGGACGTTGCCAGAAACCTGCGAGTTGGGTATCGATTTCCCATTCAGCCTTATTTTCATACCAATTAGCAAGCTTTTAATCAGGGTTAGTATTGATTTCTGTATTTTTTAGCTCTTAATCGAAATGTTTTACGTTAAGAAGTCTACTGCATCAGTGAAAACTTAATCTGTTTAAAAAGGAGGTGATTTGACAGCACTTATTCTCTGCGGGCCTGTGGCAGTGGCTGCATGTTTTATAGCCTCCCATTATTTTTTAGGGTTGGCAATTTAGGCTCTCAATTATCTTTTGGCCAGGATCCCTGCAGAAGTGACTTGGCCCATCATTACCCAGCTTGGTTGCTGGTTCCAAAAAGACTTAAATTCCGTTGCTGTTTCCTTGAGTCCCTGGAATGTCACTGTTTTAAGACCTGAAAATCAGAATTAATGGCCTGTGGACCCCCTGGCTGCTTCCAAAGCTCTGTGGGGTGCTTGTTATCCAGCACAGTGATTTACTTGACTGCCTGCCACGGTTTGAGTGGAAATGCTTCATCATCTGAGTGCATGGATGTGACTTTTGCTCCAGCACTGACTGGAAGAGAAGAAAAATATTCAATAATATTCCATCGCTGGCAGCTTTGCCGGCTCCGTCTCCTCCCACCCACTGCCATCTGTCTGGGACTCCAACTCTCTTGTCCTCCCCATCTGGGAAGTGGGATTCTTCCCCCGCAGGGCACCGGCGGGATGGGAGTTTGGCGAGGATTCAGGGGGCACCGTGGATGGAAAGCGTGGCTGAGATGGCACCTGCTTTTCTTAGACACGGCAGGAGCCTCCAACAGTCTTTTGTGTTTTGTTCCCCCAGTTTCCTGGCAGATCTCATGGACAACTCGGAGCTGATCCGGAATGTGACTCTGTGTGGGCACCTGCACCACGGCAAGGTACTGGGAACATCCAAAGTGTAGTGATAGTAATGGTGACCTCTCTGTTGTTTGCTTTGCCATCTGTCCACAGCAGCACCTTCTTCTCCTCTTGCTGATTCGCTTATAGGATCATGGAATGGTTTGGGTGGGAAGGACCTTAAAGCCCATCCAGTCCCACCCCTGCCATGGGCAGGGACACCTTCCACTAGCCCAGGTCGTTCCAAGCCCCATCCAACCTGGCCTTGGACACTTCCAGGGATCCAGGGGCAGCCACAGCTTCTCTGGGCAACCTGTGCCAGGGCCTCCCCACCCTCACAGAGAAGAATTCCTTCCCAATATCCCATCTAACCCTGCCCTTCTTCAGCTTAAAGCCATTCCCCCTTGTCCCATCCCTCCAGGCCCTTGTGAAATCTGTAGGTTTTCTCGTAGGTTAAATCTGTAGGTTTTACAATAACGTGCCCAAGGTTCTCTGTGCTGCTGCAGGAGGGCTGGGGTTGTGTTTGTCCCTGTCTGAGTGGAGTCACCTCCTTTCCCTTCTCTTTCCCAGACATGTTTTGTCGACTGCCTGATAGAACAGACGCACCCGGAGATCCGGAAGCGCTATGACCAGGATGTGAGTGAGCTCCTGCTCTGTTCCTGCCCTGCCCTGGGAGCAGGGATGGGGTGGCTTTTGCACCCTGAGGGAGGCTTTTACATCCCATGTGCCTGGGGACAAGGTGATTCAGGGACTGGAATGTAGGACTGGAAAGCCAGAGCTCAGTCCTACCTCTGCCTGTCACTTACCACCTTAACTGTGTGTCCGAGTTACTGTGTGTCCTGCTTCAGATTTATTATTTGAGACCAAAATGTGATGTTCTGACTCTTGTTTTGCCTTTGCA